CAGACGCTGGTTCTCCCAAACCCCAAGTTCTTTTTTTCAGAAGCTTCCTAGTGTCTCCATGTGGCCTTGGAAGCTCTGCTCCGATTGCACCTCCTCGGAGATGCCGCCGGCCTCAGCCGCGGGCGGGCGACGCTCCCGCGGTCTCTCCCGAGCCGGAGCCGGCTCCTGGCTGGACCCCTGCCGCCCTTCCGCTGGGGCCTGGCTCACGATACAGCCATTGTGGCCAGGGCTCCTGCACCTCCGCCCTCGTGGGGGGCAGGGCTGGGGCGGCTCCACTTTTCCGGGCGCCTGAGTCCCCGCGAGGTCAGTCAGTCGTGTCAGTCCGGCTCTTGAGGTCCCCGCCCCACTTTGATGTTCAGCCATTCACCGCTTCCTGCTCATACCCCTCCCGTCCAGTGCCTCAAGTCCCTCCTCTCCTCCCTCTGCCACTGCCCAGGTCAAGCTCTGATCTGTGACCTCGCCCCTTGCACGGTAACAAGAAACTCAAACTTAGGTCCAGCGCTTTGATTCCCCTTCTCTCAAGCCCTTTCTCCCTCTGTACGGCACACCCAGGGGCCTGTAAGCTCTACCTCCAAAGGACTGAGCAGCAGAATGAGTCCCCTGTTCTTCATCTCCAGGCCTAAAACCCAGCCCCAGTCGCGATCATCTCCCTCCTGAACTTCCAAAATGCCTTCTAGCTGTACCCCCCTGTGGCCTGTTGGCTCCTTGATTGTCCTCACAGCAACTAGAGTCGTCTTTGTGACACAGATCGTGTCCCATCCCTGCTTAAAATCTAGTTCAGTCCAATTTGAAAGTGGGCAAAGGACAGGAATAGACATTTCACTGGTGTCACAGATGGCATAAAGGCACGTGGAAAGATGTTCAACATTATTAGCCATTAGGGAAATGCAAACTAAACCACAAGTAGACATCACTACACATCGACCGGGATGGCTAAAATAAGACAGTGATAATATCAAGTGCTGGGAAGTATATAGAGAAACCGAGTTTCTCATCGATTCCTGATGGGAATGTGAAATGGTATAGCCACTCAGGAGGACAGTGTCTAACAAAACTGAACATGACCTTACGTGAACACCAAGCTTTAAACTGCAAGGTCTCAGCTCAAAAGTCACCTCCTCCGGGAGGCCTTCCCTGACCACCCCACCCAAAATAGCCATCCCCGATCAGCTGGGGACCATTAGATTACATTAGAGACTTCTCACCACCTGAAATTATTTATTGGTTAACTTGTTTATTACCTGTCCCCCTTTACCCTTCTGTGGCCCCAAAACTTGAATCAAAGCTCCAGGAGATCAGGAACCGTGTCTTTTGTGTCCCCAGCACCTAGCACAGTGCCTGATAAATACACATCTGGTGAATCAATGAATGAACACTCCCCTTTCTGATCTCTCAGGTCTCCCTCCAATTCCCCTCCACACTGCGGCCAGGGGGAGTTTTTAGAAAGTGCAAATCTGGCCAGGTCAATGCCTGGCTTATAAATCCCCAATAGTACACTGCCTCAGTAGCTTCTTGTCCTCCGGACTCCCTGTGTGTGTGGCATGGTTTCTTGGGAAGGGGGTGAAATCCTATATAATAAAGGGCTAATATGCAAATTGACCCTAATGGTGGAATGATCAGAACGACCGCTGGACCAGTCACCCCTGTGGTGCACTTACCACCTCTCGGTCTTTT